TTATTTTTCTTGAAGTTTATCTCTTTTGACAAAAAACGCTTTGTAATAATGAAATTGCACTTTCACGTGTACCTATTTGTTATGTAATATATATATATATATATACACACAAATATAGCACGAGTACGTTGTGTAGAATACTTGTCGTTACACTATGGAAATATATAAATATAATACGTGAATATAATTTTACAAATTCAAGATCACATATTATACATTGAATAAAATTTACGACGTAAAAGAGAAAAATTGAAGATCGAAGTTATTTGAAATACAGGAAGTAATTTGAAATTACTGTAACATAAGCAATGGAATTTCGCATTTTTTCAATCAACTCGACGGGAAAATATGAATCATTGATTCAGTTTCGTAATTTTTATTTTTTTTTTTTTTTGCCAATTGGAATTACAACAAAACAAAGAAAAACAATATAACGAAGGAATTACGATGTGTACTTGACTCATTGCGAATAGGTTAGAAATTAAAACCTCGTATGATACTTTTTGCGGGAAAATAATATCTTCCGTAAAATTCTGACTAATAATATTTGTTCAATCGAATAATCGAATAAAAATTCGTTCTATTTTTGGAAAAAAAAAAAAAATATCTGATATGCATTACGGTGTAATTTAAAATTTAAATTAAATTCCGATAAATCAAAATGATGACTGAGCATGATTTTTTATAGTATCGAATCAATTGGCAAAAACTATTGATGACTTGTTGCGCGTGTAAGTACATATGATTATGATAAATCTTGAAGAAAAAATAATGAAAAATAATCGATACATATGTGGAAGGTAAATTTCGAATTGTTGTAATAAGTTTGATAACCGGATGTTCTACGATCGTTTGATCGTAAGTGTATAATATATCAGCGACAAGGAAGTCAAGTGGTAGGGGAAATTTACAATTCGCAAGTATGTAACTCGTAGAATCTGTTGCCGGCTTTAGTTATTCACTACTTCTCGTAGAATATACATTCGTTCAAATTTTAACGCTTCATATTCAAGATGGTATCTTCCACGGAGGTAACTAAGTTACAGGACTTAGCGAATAGACTTCGTTTGCAAAGCATAAAAGCAACCGAATCATCAAAAAGCGGGTTTGTTTTTCATTATAATTATTATATTTCATATATATATATATTTTTTTTTTTTACAAAAATATTTATTTTTCAATTCTTATTATTCAATTCTTATTTCAATTCTTATTAACATTCTTTTTCTTTCTTTTTCCTTTTCGCGCGCGCGCCTTTTGCAATGATTTAATGAGAGACCATTTTCTTAATAAATATTGATAAACATACGATTTTCTATTTCCTTTAATTTCATAGTATATTCAATAGTAAATTATATTCATTTGGAATTATTATGTGTTTAGAAGAAAAAACGACAATTGTCTTTTTCTCTCTCCCTCTTTCTTTCTATATTTTTTTTCATTCTGTACTTGAATTTGCCTTTCACTAGACGTATAGTTCTTAGAATGTTTCTATTTGTTTAACGATTATATTTCTATTTATACGTAATACTTGTTTAAATAATAATTGGTTAGCATACACAGATGATATCTTGTTATGTGTATATCGTCGTTCTTCACACATATGTATTAAATACGATAATTACTATATAAAAAGAAAATTGAAGGATTTAATATAATAGCAGATGTAATAATCATATGATATTGATTCATTTGTAATATGTATACTCTTTTCTCATTTTTTTTTTTTTTTTAATCCGAAGTTGTATATAACCTCACATTTGTTGCGCTTAGGTTAACGCTATAACGATAAGGTTATGAAAGATCGAATACATTACTTTTTATAAATTCGTTAAATTAAAAAATTAAATTATTACTATTAATTAAAGACGTTAATATGAATTTTTATTCTTCTAATTAATGTCCTTTATTCGACCTGGGGTACATCGCGCGATTGATATGAGTGGCACTTTGACCCTGATAAGAATTTATGATTATAAATATAAATATAAATATGATCTTGATATTAGGATTTGTGACAGTTTCAATGTTACTACATATTTATTATCGATACTTTCTCTCCTTGTTTTTTGTATGTAATTGAAAATTTTTTTATTTTTTGGAAAGATAATAATTAAGCAAATAATATGTTTAATATTATTATAGACATCCTACATCATGTTCCTCAATGGCAGAAATTATGTCCGTTCTTTTCTTCCATACAATGCGTTACAAAGTATCAGCACCACGTGATCCAAGTAGCGATAGATTTATACTCAGCAAAGGTCATGCAGCGCCTATTTTATATGCAGGTAAAATATTATATAGGATATAAAGATTATAATTAATTGATGCTAAATTGTGATATAATAAAATGAAAGAAATAAAATATATTTTCTTTATGTCACAGCTTGGGCAGAAGCTGGTCTTTTTCCAGCCAGTGAGTTATTAAACTTAAGAAAGTTTGATAGTGACTTAGAAGGCCATCCTACTCCAAGGCTTAATTTCATAGACGTAGGAACAGGTTCTTTAGGTCAAGGTCTCTCAGTTGCAGCAGGGATGGCTTATGTGGGAAAGAATTTTGATAAGGCCAGCTACCGGTATACAAATAAAATAAAAATTATTTTTTATGCGCTCTACTTTAACAAAAGTTAACAATTTTATTCTTCTTTAGAGTATACTGTCTAATTGGCGATGGAGAAGCAGCAGAAGGATCTATCTGGGAAGCATTGCATTTTTCGTCGTATTATAAACTAGATAATTTGTGTGCTATATTTGATATTAATCGTTTGGGACAAAGTGAACCTACTTCTCTTCAACATAATATGGAAGTTTATCGTAAAAGGCTTGAGGCTTTTGGTTTTAATGCATTAGTTGTTGATGGTCATGATGTTGAAGAACTTGCTAAGGTATATTAATTTTACATTTGTATGTGCCTAAGAATTCATAATTTATAATTTTAATATTTATATTTATTCATTTATTCTGATAGGCATTCCACGAAGCACAAAATACGAAGGGACGTCCGACTGCCGTTTTGGCAAAAACATTTAAAGGTAAAAGCTTTCCAAATATAGAAGACTTAGACAATTGGCATGGAAAGCCTCTTGGAACTAAAGCAAATGAAATAATTCAGGTACAATATCATGAATATTATAATCGATGATAATTTTTGTTGATAATCGTTTATTATATATTAATTAAATGTTCTCTTTTATTTGCAGCATTTAACTGGACTTTTAAAAAATCCTGGTCCTTTGGGATTACATCCTCAAAAACCATTAGTTGACGATGCTCCAGTAATAGACATTAGTAACATTAAATTAGCCTCGCCTCCAAGTTATAAACTCGGAGAACAAGTAGCTACTAGATTAGCTTATGGCACTGCTCTTGCCAAGGTTTGTCTATTTATATTGGTCTATTTATATCAGAGGTTAATTACACGATCCAAAGTTTACTTTGTTGTTTTTGTTTTTTTTTCTCTATTAGTTAGCGAAGAATAATTCACGCGTAATAGCTTTGGATGGCGACACTAAGAATTCTACTTTTGCTGAGAAAATAAAGACTGTCGATCCAACTAGATTTATTGAAGGTTTTATAGCCGAACAAAATGTTGTCGGTGTTGCCATCGGTACTGCTTGCAGGGATCGTGCTGTTGCTTTTGTCTCCGCGTTTGCTACGTTCTTTACACGTGCCTTCGATCAGGTAAAAATTATATATTATTATTTTCATTATTACTATTACTATTATTATTATTATTATTATTATTATTATTATTATTATTATTATTATTATTATTATTATTATTTTGAGAAATATCAAGTTTATGTAATTTATTAACATCATTTATTTTAATGCTATAGATTCGTATGGGTGCAATTTCTCAAACGAACGTAAATTTTGTTGGTTCACATTGTGGTGTGTCGATCGGTGAAGATGGACCATCACAAATGGGTTTGGAGGATATCGCTATGTTCCGCACGATACCTGGATCAACGGTATTTTATCCGTGCGATGCTGTCTCTACCGAACGTGCCATAGAATTGGCTGCTAATACGAAAGGCATTTGTTTTATTCGTACCTCGCGTCCAGCTACATCGGTTGTATATAAAAACGACGAAATATTTGCTGCCGGAAAAGCTAAAGTATTGAGGTCTACTGCAAAAGATCAAGTTCTTGTTATAGGTGCTGGAGTAACTCTGCACGAAGCACTTAAAGCAGCCGACGAATTAGCAAAGACTAGCATAAATATTCGTGTGATCGATCCATTTACTATTAAACCAATTGATGCTCAAACAATCATAAAGAATGCTAAAGAGACCGGCGGTAAAGTCATAACTGTCGAAGATCATTATCCCGAAGGTGGTTTAGGGGAAGCGGTAATTTCTGCCGTTTCTTTGGAACGAAATATTATTGTTAAAAAACTTGCTGTACCTGAAGTACCAAGATCTGGTCCTCCTAATGTCTTAATTGATAACTATGGCATTAGTGCGCGTAAAATCACTTTAGCGGTACAAGATATTTTGAAGTTATAATTTTATATTTGTTTTACGATAAATGGTCATAATATGAATTGGAATTGGTCACATGAGATGTGTTCATATATATATATACATATGTATATATATATATTACATTTATACATTTATAGGTTTTTATGCAAGCAAATTTCAGAATCAATTTTATGAAGTAAAACGTTTTATTCATTAACGTTATTGTTGTAAAAAAATATAAATTACTTTGTCAGTGCATAATATTAATTAGTAAAATTCAAAGAAAATTTTACGTTGCTATTAATTAATAAACGAAAAATCACGTTTTACTCCATATGTATATTTTCTATGTAAATAAAGATAAGCAAAAAGATTTCTATTACATTTTTACAGTCTATATAATGATTTATGAGTATACATGAATATAATACATGTATTTGTTTATAGTTTAAAAATCGTTACTATTATAATTTTCATTATAAAATTAACAGAGATATAATAAAAATAATATTTTTTACTGTTTTGTAACCCTTCAAAATTTCGCGGGTAGAATTGAGCCGCCATCTAGCGAATTCTTTCGTAATCATGTTCATACGGAGGATTGGATTATATCACTGTTGGCTGCACTGCTGTAATACGTGTTTGAGGTTATAAAATTCTCCTGTAAGTACTACGAGCTTATTTGTTTAAGTTCAGTTACGCTTTATGCGTTAAACAGTAGTGGATATTTCAATAATTTTGTTATTATTGAAGATAGGATTTTAATTCAATTCGTGATAAAACGAGATCATGGAAAAAGTCGAACACTTGTGGAATGTAACTAAATATTTGACGAAGTTACGATGTCCAGAAGCAAACAGATTACAAAACTTTTATATGTAAGTATAAATGTATTTTTTGTTTACTTTATAATTTAAGGTTAGAATCAAATTAACTCGATTGTGTACTTTTAGAGAACGTTGTAGAAATGCAGCTAACGAAGTCGAGTTACCAAAAAAATGTTTTGGACCTTTAATAATGTGTTCTCATTGCGGTTCACTTTGGGCGACTATAAATCATCAAGTACGAATATTACCTGGTAGAAAGATTTCCCATTCAGTTGGTAAGATGATTAAAACAAATACCGATGGGTACAAAGTATCTAAGGTTCGAGCTAAATTAATAAAAAAATGTAAAAAGAAGGAAATGAATAAACTCTCGATAAAATGTTCTGTTTGTTTACATCGAACAGAAATACAAATGAATAAACCAAAGAGAAAAGTTGAAACCTCTGATAATACGTTAGAGAAATCTAAAATTCTACAGAAAAAAAAGAAGAAAAAGGGAAAAGACAAAACGGTTGGATTAAATATTTCTGGAAACATTGTTCCAGAATTACAATCGAACGAAAGTAAGAAAATTCCTTTAAAGAGTAACACGAGTCAGTTTAAAACTAAGAATTTAAATACACCAAAGATAAAGAAATTAAATATAAATAAAATGAAAGATATTGTAAATCAAGGTATGACGCCACCTAATAGAAAGAGTTTGACAAATTTTTTAAAAGAGCTCATATAAAACAAAAATTAAAAAGTGTATCATCCTATTGTACTAAACGACTTAGGCTCATTGCCTACATAGTAATTTATTGAGCTTTGAATTGCTTCCTACATACGATGGGTACTGATAAAATAAATAAGTACCGCATTAAAATACGTGGAACGTAGATTTTTTTCTTTTTTCTTTTTTTTTCTTTTTCTTTTTTTTTTTTTTTTTTTTTTTTTTATAGAATCTTGAAGGTTTCTCACGTGTTTATTTCCTACTATTCCAGTGGAATTTCCTTTTGTACAATCTGTAAAATAGTAATACATCCATTTGATATGGACAAATTTAATATGAAAGATTAATGTAAATAAATATATGGGAGATCGTTATATAATATGAGTAATTAATTAATTTAAAAGATAAAAGCCCGCCTTAACGAGAAAAAGTTAATTTGTTTAGTGTATTAATTTATATTATGTATTTTCTTTATTTGTAATAGATTATTTCTAGATGGAAGGATTAAAATGAAAAAGGGAAGGATAGGAATTGGTTAGTCACCTGAATACACGCCTGGAGATAATCCCGCTCGGACATTTCCTGGTCCTTCGCAGGGGGAACTTTTCCCCGTCGGCGCAACTCTTGCTTGGCGTCGTTCAAGTCAAAGATGGCCACAGGGTCCAGCTTGCTTTTGAGTACCAGGCCCGCCAAGTATTCAATGTAGTGCTGCCTGCGGGGAAAAGTACCCAGATGTTAGTCGTATCTTGTACCGGTTTCGTTTTTTACCTCCGTCAGATCTTTCCTGTAGTGTTCTGGGTCACGCCCGTACCAATTTGGAGGTAGCTTTAAGCCGCTTCGTTTAACGCAAGTCTCGAGATCGTCTACATTCAACAGCGGAAGAGGTTCCAACTGCGTAGAACGTATCTTTCGAACAAGATACTCGACGTAATGAATCCTGAATATGGGATAACGTGTTAGCATTTTAGGATAGACTATTAAGTAATTAAGGGGAGTCGTTTTTAGGATCTTTTTAATTCTATAGAATTAGAATATAAAATATAAGAAGCGAAAAGATTTTTATCTTTCGAGTAATTCCTTTGTCGTTTGAACTTACCTTTTTTTCTTTTTTTCTTTTTTTTTTTTTTTCATTTTTACGATTAACTTATAAAATGTTACGTTAATGATTTCGTTAGAATAAAGAATTAAATCGATCGTTAGGATTAACGTTAAACAAATTTTCAACCTGCATAAACCAGCTTGTCCCTCGACGACGTCCGAATTGCAAATTGCATCGACAACACCCGCTGGGGTTTCCTTTTGCAATTGAACTTTACATTTCCTTTCACCTATTGGCCCTTCCGTATCGTACTCAATGCCATTCTCTTTGAGTAATTGTTGTAATTGTGCGGGTTCCTTGTCGCGAAGATAGAAGAGGCAATTGCGCGGATGATGAGCGTGAAGGCCTAATTTTGCGCAGTAGGGACTAATCGAGCATTTAGCACCCATAAAAAAAGCTTTACCGCAACCACAACAAAATTCAAATTTGCATTGACTGCAGGTAAAATGCATGCAACCTGTAAAAAAGATGTTATATATTTTATTTTTGTACCAAAGGATTTTTTTTTTCGATTATTATTTCGAATGTTTTTTTTTTTTTTTTTTTTAAATAATTATACCTCCTCGAGATAAAGAATATCGAAATTTACATTTGGGACAATCAATACCATTATCGGCCAAATGTTTCGCTAAACCAGCCGCTTGATTATCTGGATCATTTTCATCTTTCCAAGCTGCGAATTGTTCGCAAGTTATACCTTCGTGTTGTTTCTCCCACTGTGAATGAGTTCAGTCGTTATACGTTCACTTCTTATTACTATTATATGTTTACAATCGTCGTGTTTACATACAGGCTTCCGACAAAAGGCACACGTTATAGATCTACAGTCAGGACAGATCAGTCTCTTGTGTTCTGGGTCCGCATAAAAGCCACTCGAGCACTAGCAAACAACAGTTTAGTTGATTAAATATTCATACTGTTGTATATATCTTTTTAAAATATAGAATTAAAGCCGAGCGATTACCTGAATGCACCATTTAAAATTAGGATCTTGCATAAGAGTCCGATCTCTTAGCTTTCTTTGAAAGAGTTCGTGAATAGGAGGATCCAAAAGTGATTTTAATTGAATGTCTAGATTACTAAAATATTCTAGAACGTCATCTTCGTTCGCATCCCTCAGATTAGGTTCTTTGCAAAACGGACATACAGCGTCTATTATATTTCTATCGCTTATCTGAATGGTGAAATAATTTTTGACACACTCGTTACAACAGCGATGTGTACATTTCAACAGGGATATCATCTAAAATGTGTATATATATATATATATATACATATATTTATATAATGTTTTTTTCTTTGTAATTATTTTTAGAATATAAATCGCGTATTATGCACCGACCTGACTCATCGCATAACGTCCGGTACAAAGTTCGCATTCTTGTTGTAAAAATGCAAGAGCCGACTCGACACTACCACATTCCTTAGCGGCATGAATAGCTTCTGCATCCCCGAATTTGAGAGCTAATAAACTGGCAGCTACTTCAGCCTCCTCGTAATTCGATGCACGTCCCTCAGCTAACAATCTACGTGCCGTTCTCTGTTAACGAACATAAAAATTTCGTGATGCGAAATCAAATTTACAATATATAATTGTTTATAATTGATTTTTTTCCTTTTTTTATTATTTTTTTTTCTTTCTTAGACATCGATCGATCTATAATTAATAATTAATTAAATCTTTAGAGATAAATGTTTAACGAACATGCTGCAAAGTTACGTGATACGATAAAATGTTAATAAGTGATAGCAAATGTAAATAAATGGCGAAAAATTATTAATATTTTATCATGCAAAATATAGCTCTTTGGCACCAACGTCTAGAAACGAGCTCTTTAATTTGTTTACTATGATTTAGAGAATAAAATGGAATCTAATTTGAAAGCATGAACGAATACATTCAATGTCGTATGTGAAGATGTTTTTGTCAGATGCGTCTAATGCTTAGTATATATTTGATGAATAATTTTTATCTAACACCGATATCTTTATTCTTACAACATATAAAATGTTAGTTATTTGTTACAAGGAAAAGTACTTACCCTTGATAAGTTCTACCCTAAAAGATAGAGGAAAGAAAGAGAGATAGATAGAGAGAGAGAGAGAGAGAGAGAGAGAGAGAAAGAGAGATTACTATTACTAAGTTATTACTATGATCAAAAGAGATAGGAAAACTAAGTCAGGCCACTCTCCATTTAATTTTAATTAGCTCGAGCATGTTTGTAGACATTGGGCTATCAGCATCGTAGGATAATGAAGTAGTCGGGATATATTTATTTTTTATTTTTTTTTTTTTTTTTTTTTTATTTTTTTTTTCGTTTTACTGACCTCCCTTTCCGTTTTGGGAGATCCCTCTCTTCTCGTAGCGTTGACATTTTCAACTTCATTACGTTTCCTTTCTGTTTTATCTTCACCCTCGAATCGACGTATACAACTGGCTACTAAAGAAAATCTTTTACTCTGCGTAACTCGTGTATCTTCCTTATCTTTTTTTCTTTTATTTTTATCATTCGTCTCGACCTCTCGTAACGTTTTAACGCTTTGTATTATTTTCACGTCTTTCGTATTGCCATCATGTAAATTCTTTTTCTCTAATTTCGCGATCTTACCCGTATTTTTCTTTAATATTTCATTGACGTTACTCGTATTTTTATTTGCATCGTCATTAATCAAATTATATTTCATTTTATTTCTCGTTATCTTATTATTAGATTCTTTTGATTTTTGTTTTTCTATTGTCGTTTTTTCATCGCGACTCTTCGATACGATCGACGAATCTTCCGAAGTCTTTATTTTAATGTCATTTTGAGTAATTTCTATTTTGTTCACCTTAGCGATATTAATGTCAATGGACTCTTCCACATCAGATATTGCTTCCTCAAATATTTCGTCGCTCAGAGACGACGAATCATCATTTTCTATATTCCCCCCTTTTTTCGCATCTCTCTCGTCGAGTTTCAAATCTTCATTTTCCTCTAATTCGTCAGACTCGTAATTCGATAATTCGGCTCTTATAGCCTGCAACGTCTTTTCTATTTGATCTTCAACGGTGATCAGACTCTCGACAGAGTTACTTTTCTCCGAGCTAGACTTAGGAACTTCTCTCATTAGCACGGTAAAATTTTCTGACTCGGAGGAGGAACTATCGAAAACCGAACTGGATTCTTCGACGTCTGAAACCTCTTTTTCTTCTCCTTCATCATCATCATCTTCGTCTTCTTCATTTTCTTCGTTATCGTGCTCGGAACCTGATTCGCCGTCATCACTGTTATTAGATCGTTCCATTTCAGTTTTGATCTCTAAAGTTTCTAAGTTGTTTTCTAATTTTTCTTTCCCCGTTCGACAATTAAATCCATCGTTATCTACGTCAATTTTTTTGTCGTCGATCTTATCCACCGTTCGATTGATTTTAATCGTTTCTTTTTCTCTTTTAACGACAATATCATTCTCCTTAACATTTTCTAAAATATTCGATATCTTCGTATCTTTTAGATTTGTTTTTAAAATTGTTTGTCTCGCAACAGGCAATTTCGTTGGTATAGATCCCAATATTATTTTATTTATTTTTACTGGTTTATCTTTCGATGCTGTAGCTCGCACATTTTTAGATGACATTTTGGATCGTCCAGTTAAAATGGGAATTTTCGAAATGAATTTAACTTTAGACTTGTTTTTATCGACACTCTCATCTCTTTCGAATTCTATTCTTTCGTCCTTGATATTTGTCGTTTCTTTAGATCGTACAAACGTCGATTCGATCGATCTTTGATTCGTAGAGCTCGTAGATCTTTTTTCATTATCGATCGATGATTTTATTGATTTTATTGTATTCTCTGATCTCTTAACGCGATCGTCTTTAATATGTTCGATGGATCCATTCGATCGTGTGTCTTCAATCTTTGTAATACTTTTCAAACCGATCGGTTTCTTCATTATTTCAGCGGCTGCGTTTTTCGCTTTCACAAGAGCATTGGTTCTCGGAAGAACGTTGATTTTTGTCGAGATCTTTTTAGGTAGAAGCGTATTAGTTCTCTTTATGATCTTAACTGGTGATTTTCTTCTACTTACTTTTTTTACCGGCGATTTAGATCGTTCTTTAATAATATCACCTCTCGTTAGTTTTGTCGCACTATCAATTGATTCAATTAAATTCGTTTCGATTTTGTCAATGTCATTGGATTTAATCTTTTCGGAAATGTTAACGTTTAAATCATCGATCGGTTCCTCCTTAATCTTATCAACGATTTTCTTTCCGTTTTCCAATTCGGAATTAATTTTTTCTATTTCTTTGATCGGAGCGCAATCGTTTACAGCTATAATCGGAGATTCGGATATGTTTATTTCGATAATACCAGCCGAGATGTCATTAATATTCGATTCTAAAAAAACTCGAGGCGGCGATTCGATGAGATTCAAGTTTTCAAGGAACGACGGTACCTCGTAAGAAAGTTTTTGATCGTCGATCGTCTCGCGAACTGTCTGTATGTCATTTAATAACGGCGATAAAATAATTTCGCTAATAATTTCAACGTTTTCACTTTTCGTTATGCGCGATTTATCATCGTTCTTATCTATCGTTTTTATTTGTTCGATATTCAAAAGTTTAGATGTATTTGATTTGATTTGATTTAAAGAGGACAAATTGGATAAACTTTCTGGCGCATTATTATTCGAATCTAGAAGATCTTTTGATTTTAATCGCGATGAAAATTCGAACGATTCGTCGGCGAGTTTAGGATTGAAATTTAAAAAAGGCGCGTCAGATTTCGATCGATTAAACGAATTAGTATCGATCGAATCTTTTAAAATATTACTCTGTAAATTTTCTTTATCAATTTCGAAAATATCGATTAAAATCGATCGTTGATTATCATTAGATATTTTCATTGGCGTTAATATTGGCACGTCGATGATTAAATCATCTTTAAGTTCGATCAAATTACTAGAATCGTTAGAATGAATATCGTTACGAATAGATGAATCTAGAATATCAATTGATTTGTCATTAGTCGATGATGATTCTGCATCATTATGTTTGTTATCAAACGTTAAGTCGATCATGGGATTATGGGATAATGCGAAATCATTGGAAGTGTTATTCGCTTCTTTTGAAAATGATATTATGTTTATGGATCCATCGATCATTGATGTATTAATTAGATGCGATTGATCATTGGAATGTTCATTGATTATACGTGAAGTTACATTCGATAGTTCCTCATCCAGTTTCATCGATTCTCTATCTCTCTTATCATTGTTATCATCATTATCATTATAATTATTATTACTTTCTATGAGTGCTCTGTCCGTCATTGAAAAATTATCATGTAGATCTATCAATTCCGTATTCATGTTTTCATTATCCACAATGATTTCAGAATGCATGTCCACGTATGTATCGGCTATCATTCGTGATTGAAAATCATGATTCAATGACAGCTCGTAATGATATGCGTTTGTTAATGATATGTCCGAAGGGATTGCAGCTTTATCCATTGTCGTGTTCTGTCCTATGTTAGTTAGCGGAGTATTAGCTTCAGTTCGATCCATACCTACCGCTCGGAAGTCCTTCTGTTGATTCGTCAAATCTTTTCCTTCGAAATTCACGTTGTCGTTATTTGCCTTCGATATATTATTATTTTCATTTTCGTTATCAAGTACGACCATAGATGATTGTTCGATTTCTATTTCTTCTAAAGCCCTATCGATCGTTGTAATCTTTTTATTTTCATCGATGGATTCAGAAATTCTACCTTTAATATCCTTTTTATCTAAAACAAGTATATCGATCGGTCGATCATTTACATTATCATTTTCTTCCTCCTTTCCTCCGATCATTGACTCGGAATGAACAGAATGAGGATTAGAGGCAAGGTTGGTATAATCGTTTTCATTTACATCGGTATCGGTATCGATTGTCGTCAATTTGGGCGATAACATTTTCATAGCTTTTACGAAAGGACCTATCATTTGTTCTGGCAAGGATTTAACAGCAGACATTAGCAAATCCATCGTTTTAGACTGAGATACAGCGTTTACTTCTAAATCAACCTCGTTTATGGTAGAACGTTCGTTCGTAAATAAATTCTCTATCTTAGATTCGTTTATTTTTCTTGTTATCGTACGATCCGTAGCGTCATTATGCATTTTCAGATCCGATTGCTCGACGATATTTGTATCTCGTTGAAGGGAGGACTCTTGTGAAATATTTTTTTTATCCTCCGGCAAAGTCTTGTTACGAAAGAGCTTTCCATCCTCCTTATTCCTATCGCCCATCGATATTTCATTCTCATTCGCCATTTCTTTATTCCCTTTCGTAACATCCTCATCATCGGATTTCTCTGTAACCGTAGCAATTTCAGAATTGAAATGTTTCTCATTCGTAACTACGGCATCGTATGAATCCACCAGCGTAATATCTTCTTTGAAATTATTATTTCGATCGTCTTCATCATGAGTTTTTATTACCTTCGACGATTCATCGATACGAATTATTTCTTTTATTTTATTTTCGTCATTGATCTCGAATTCTTTCTCCTCCGTTAATCCCACATTATTTCCTATAATATTCGTATCATCGTTATCCTGTTTATTTTCCATTGATTCAATTATATCACTCTCTAATCGATTATCTTTATCATCCATGGTATTTTCTAATTTATCCGTTTGTTCAATCTCTACGTCTATCGTTTGACTTGAATTAATATTTTCTAGTGATCTTGGTAATAGGGTTTCGTCGATCGTCGGGTCTTCGCCGTTCGAGCTGCCGAGTAAATCAACCGAATTATTACCTCGAGTGTTGTTTAGAGGGTCTTTCTCGTATTCCCAATTATAAGTCATTTGTCTTAACGCCGCCAGCTGTTTTCTAAAGTCGGTCTGCAATGCGACGAAATTGTCAATAATTGGTGACATTACCTGCTTCTTCGCCTCCGTATCCGATACATTGGTAATCTGTTCGAGAATCCTTGTTGCACCACCAACTATACCAGCCGCATCTATTTACGTAGATAAATTTTTATGCATTATATTTTTCTTTTCTTTCTTTTTTATTTATTTATTTATTTTTATATTCTTTTTTTTTCACATCGTCCTCATTACTCTCCCATGTTTCATCAATTCTTTATATATTTATTAACAATTATTAATATAATTTAATCATGTATTTATAGTTTGATAACTTTACGTCCTATTTATATACCATAAGAATAAATTGACTGACCTCCTTGTGGTGCAGCCCCATCGTTTTCGACCCCGACCGGAGGACCCCAGATCCTCATTAAAAATGGCTTCAATTGATTTTTCTGTAACTCGAGTAAAGCGGCATCGACGATGCCATCGTTGTTATCGAGAGCTTTAACAACATCAGCCATCGTAAAATTGCCCTTTGTTAGAATTTCTGCGGTCTAGAAATAAGATGTCATAGAAGAAAAAGATTATTAGAAATTAATTCTATCGTTTATCATAATTCGATATATATATATATATATGTATATGTATATGAATAAATATGTTACCTTGTGCTGTCTACGTTGGATAGCAATGGTGACAGCATTCCAAACGTCACCTTTGACCGATCTTAAAGCATCCTTCGCTTCGTTGACAGAAAGGACACCGATATTATTCTCTCTTTGTTCCTTTCCCTGAGTGCTTACCAAAATTTGAACGGCTTCGATCGAACGAGGCCATTGCGTCTTTAACCATTCTATTGGATTGGATGCACCCTGTGTTAGGGCCACCTGTACGTCGTCAGTCGAATATCCTTGTCTCTCGGCTTCTCGCAAGAGCTCGACGATTTCTAATCCTTGACGAGTCAACGTAGATACACCTTGAGATGATGTACTAGGACCTACTTCGATGAATCTAGGTTGGCTAGGTTCCTATAGAATATACAAATATCAAAAGTCAATGAGATATTGCGTTTGATTTATTGAAATCGCGAAGAAAAGCGATCAAGCTTAACACATGATGCTCCTGATTAAAACTAAAGCCTGTGATATATATATATATATATATCGGAGAAATAATGGAAAAAAAAGAAAGACGAAAGAAAAAAGAAAAAAAAAGAAAAAAGAGAAGAAGAAAAAAAAAGAAAAATAAATAAATCATCATCCTGCCTACCTACGTTCACACCGAGGACACAAAGTTGTTAGAACTGTTGGGTTAAGAAAATCTATGATTACTTAGCACAAAGAAAAAAATCCATCGCGTCAATTACGATAAAGCAAGTGTATCTTGATTACCCTAGAGCGATAATATAGATGAGCTGAGTCGATGGAATTTCTTCGTGTTCGATCTCTGCTCTGACTTGAAATCGCCTGCCGTAGATATTGTTCGTGTATAGTTCGTGGATAAAGATCGGGACTGTTTGTAAATCTGTTTGGTTCCTGTAACATATACTCCGTATCGTTTTTTATTAAGACGTATTAATGAGAACGAAATGATATATTCCTGAGAGAGAACGTTTTAGTCGTTAATGAACAATCCGACATTGCGTTTATTAACATTCATCCGTCCATCGATGTAAATTTGTCGTACGAAAGTAAACGATTTTATACGATGATAAAATCATTGTGAATTTTAAATAGGGGACGGATGAAAGTTGATATAGCTCTCGTCTCCTCCTACCTCTGTCTCGCTATCCTCGTAGGACAAAAATCCTTTGGAAGTCGACATCGATCTACGAAGGGAACCACTACCTCCTCGTGGAAGGAAATCGTATGTCTGAAACATTTATTTCTTTCCCATCGAATGAACGTTCTCGTCAATTTTTTGTTGCTTTTTTTTTATTTTCTTTCTTTCTTTTATTATTATTATTATTATTATTATTATTATTATTATTATTATTATTATTATTATTATTATTATTATTATTCTTATTATTATTATTCTTATTACTTTTTTTTTTGTTTATTTCTTTCGATTAGATATTATAGCACATTATCGTCGACAAACATATGTTAAGCGTTTATTTCTCGAACTTGTGGTGGCTTACTTGGGTGGAGATACTTTGAGGTGGCGGAGATGTTCCAGTTGAAACTTTACGAGTTTCTTCGATCCTCTCATTGGATTTAGATATCTCTGGTCGTTTTACGAGTTCTTCGATATCTTCAGGATTAATTCCTTTTGATAAGGATAATGTTGGTGTCGAGGATGTCAAAGTTACTTCGTCTTTTTTCTCGGACGTGGTCGATGCTTCGGATAATTTAACGTCATGCATATCTGTCGAACTTTCTGCTAGGCTTATACCTGAAACCGAACAAGTACATTTCCGATGAGAAAAACGACAGAATATATTTCTTCTTGCATTGTCTTATCTGTTTTCTTTTCTTTTTTCTTTTTTTCTTTTTTTTTCTTTCGTCGTCTCTCATTTTAATTACTTGTTTATTGCTTATCGTCAATATGAATAACATTGATGCAAAATGTGTGTAATTATTTAATTGATCAGAAGATTTTACGTTCTTTTCTCAATTGATTTGTATTTATTGTTCTTTCATCTTATTTTATATTTTTAATTATTTTCTTTTGATTCTTGTTTGGAGTAAAGGTATATCCACAAGTCAAATGCGTATTCGTTCTTGAAAAGATTGTGAACTTGAATGAATAATAATGAATTTCATAGATAAATCATATAGTGAAATTTCAAATACGCTTACGCATTTGACTTCCACGAAAGACGTGAGAAACAGTTTGCATGCTTCTTTATTATTCATTCAAGGATACACATATAGAGAAGAGGAACAATGATCAATGGTCTATTAGAAGAACGGTAAAAAAATATTTAGAAACATTTTGAAATCTCGCGAATCGAAAGAAAATAAAAGCTGGGGGCTAGTGTGTGTTTATGAAAACGAACGAACGAACGAACGAACGAACGAACGAACGAACGAACGAACGAACGAACGAACGAACGAACGAAAAAGAACTCGGGTCGGTTACGAAAATAGGGTAACATGTAAAATTATTTCGTCATTTGGATAACTTGGTACCAAAAGAAAAGCTGATTTTTCGTCCGGTTCTACCTTTGTTCTTTGTCGATCCACTGTCACCACTTTCTTCGCTATTTGAGATTTTCAAAAGATTTGTTTTCTTCTCCAAATCGAGATTAGGATCCTCGGTAGAACCCGACACTTGTTTGTTATCGTTATCGATTGTTTGAATATCTTCTATGTTGGGATCGGGATCATCCGTCTCGTTCGAAGGTAGAGCACTGCTTCTGGTTTTGCAGCAGATTACGCAAACGCGTTCGGTGATTTTGTTAATGAAAGTACAGTGCTCGCAGGACCATTCGTCAGTTGGTAATTCGATCGTACCTTTTTTATACGTAGGAGAATTTTTCTTCAACGCATTTACTATTTCTTTCGATCCTTTGAACGACTCATTGTTATCTTCGACGTAGATTTTCTTCTCTTTGATTTGAATCGATTCGTTATTTCGAGATATTTGAGAGTCCCGATCTATGCTCGATTCTTTTTTATTGCTCGTTAAACTCCTATCGTCGTCCTCCTTTGTTCGGGATATTTCACGTGCGGATAATCTTTTTAAATTTGGATTTATATCCGTTTCGATGGAAGACCTTCTCGAGCTACGGTGTACCGAAGATCGTTCACTCTTATCCAACGAGTCCTCTCTTTTAAACGACGATATTCTCTTCGACGAGATTATATTTTGCTCCTGAATTCGTTGTTCCCTTTTACGCAGTTCCTCGACATCCGTTGTGGCGTTTCGTATAGAACGCGACGAAAGACGTTCCAAGGTATCATTTTCTATTTCTCTTTTCAAGGTTGAATCTAGAGCTTGTCTTTCCGCCTCGGCGGCCATAGTCATTCTCGAAGCTCTCTGCGAGATAGATCTCCTCGAATCGTCTTCGCCTCTTAAAGATTGTCTCTTCGTCGAAAGGATTTCGTCGTCGTATAACGTCGAACGTTTTTCCGTCCGTTCGAAATGATCGTCGGAGGAACTTGTGATCCTCGTTCTAGCTGTTGGATTAGATTTTCGATCGGACAGTTCCTCGTCGGTACTTTTACGTCGTCGTCGTTCGCGTCGTTGATCGTGGTAAGTCCCATTTTCAATGTTCCGAAGGCGAGAATCGATTGTATTCCTTCGAGAGTCCTCGTAACCTCTTGAGGACATCGAGTACCGTCTGGTCGATTGATTTTCAGACCATTGTTCCTCCGTACTGGTCATCCTATCCTCCGACGTTAGTCTCCTAGAAAATCGAACTCTCATGAATAACGATACTCTTGGGAGTATCTATAGATCGTTAGAATACAAAGCAAACGTATAGACTACTTACTCTCGACGAGGTCGAGAAAGTAAAGTTCTAGAACCATCGTTATCCTGATAACTTCTTTGTCTGATACTTCTTGGAACGCTACCTCGTCTGATACTTCTCGATCCTCGAGAAAGTCTATCGTCAAAATCAGATTCCTCGGAATCTTCGGAGCTAGCATCCGATGGCGATCCTGGTGATATTCTCGATCTCGATCTCGAGACGATAGACTTTCTTGATTTTATACTTGGAGATGGTGAGGGTGCCCTGGACCTTCTGCTAGATTTTATACTCCTCGCTGGACTGTGCGGTCTTGACAAAGTTCCCGGATAATGCGGTGGTAACATTTGAGACGGATGATATCCCATGGGGTATGCCCATAAAGCTGGATGATTTAAACTCAAGGTCGAAGCACTCATTGACGAAGCGTCCCAGGGATTGTTCGGCGAGTACCACATCATTGGCATTCCACCGGGACCTAACTGTGCCATCGATTGTGCCTGAACACAACCATCGACAAATTTCTTTTCATTGTAAAATCCGTTTCTTTACGTTTATTCTCTTTTCTATCGATTACATACCTGATGCATTCCAAGATTCCACATATGCGGTGGTGTCGTGAGATCGCACACGCTGGTCGATTGTATTATAGATCTTGGAGGTGGTGGAGGTGGTAAAGGTGGCGTAGCTTTAGAACTCCCTATGCTAACCGGCCTGGGACTTGTGGTTTCTCTCGACGAAGCATCCGATGGTGTACGTCTTCGTCGATTTGCATCTTGTGCTCTCATTGCTTCCTGATATCTCCTGTATCTTTCCTAAAACATCAGAATTACTCTGAAGTTCTACCGAACTACGAGCTCCAATATCGATATTTAAATAAAAGCACACCTGTAAGGTAGACATTTTGTCGGTACCCGATCCTGATCCTTCGATCGTGGTATTAATCGTTGATCGCGTTATCTTCGATCCTTGAAAATTTGTCTCCCTAGACGCCGACGATGATCCACTAGCGTTGGAAAGATCACGCTTCGTACTTCCTGGTTTCTCGATCAATGATCGATTCGTAGCTCCTTGATTCTGCGTGAGTTTGGCCTAAGCGCGAAACTTTAACTTACACCTTGGATTTAGATATCACATTTTGACGTTCGAAATACCGTGTTCGGTTTTTTTTCTTTTCTTTTCTTTTTTTTTCTTTTTTTTTTTTTTACATAGGTATATTTTGTCGAATACATAAATTGTCATCGTGGATACGCATAGAAGGATATACGAAACGATATGCCGACACCTAAACGTAAACTTTTCTACGCTATATACGCTGTAATTGAATTTATTTTTTAAGCGAGAAACTTTATACAAGCCGATGGTAGATGCTGTAAAGAATTCAAACGTAGGTACAGGTAGGTAGGTACGTATAAATCCTATGTTTCTGCGTGTAATCTCGTCCTGTAGGAAGATCAGGAATGGGAAGGTACCAGTAACGGTACGGAAAAGATTACGAATGGTATATGAAAAATGATCGTGTTACCGTTCTAACCCTAACCTGCCATATTCACTGTTTCAACGAAGCAAGAATATCTCCGTTGTTTTTTGATTATTAACTATGATGACTTTGCCGGAGGTCTTTTCCACGCCGTTACCTTCAAACGGAAATTGTGATAGAGAGTGAGAGAGAGAGAGAGAGAGAGAGAGAAAGAGAGAGAATGGGTTCAGTGAATACGGCAGTCGTCTTTTTCGGTAACATGGTGTATTAGAAAACAATATGAGGGTGGTTACAATAAAATCTGTAAAACAATTCAACGGTAATAAAATATCGAAGGGTAAACAATCTTCGTTGCCTCGGTGTGACGTATGTAGTGACAATGAATCATCAACGTGAACGTTCGTCAAATAATACGAATATAAATATTAAGTATTAAGATCCGTCGTTATAATAAAGGTATCTGCAGATCCGGAAAGGGAATATCGACATGAGAAAGAGTGAGTGAGTGAGCGAGTTTATGTAAGAAAGAGAGAGAGAGAGAGAGAGAGAGAGAGAGAGATAGGGAACATAATAAACGAAGGAAAAGTTATTGCGTTTTAGGAGATGTTTTCGTAATAGGATTTCAGGATTTAGGATAGGACGCAGCCTACCTGAGAGCTCTTGCGATTTCTTCTCGGTGGTGGTACAGGAGGTGGACCACCTAGATTTTCACCTTTTGGTGGCAAAGGTGGTCTGTTCTTTGCTGCTGTCTCGGTCACGATCCTTCGTCTAACGTGAGCTTTTCTCTTGGGATGTTTATGATTCATGTCGTCACAAGCTTCGCAATAATTCTCTTTGCAGGTGTCGCATCGTGCGAAAACGTTCTCGGTGCCGCATAGAGCACATTTGCTATGTTTCGTAATGGATGTTAGGTCGGTCGATATTGGTGTCGTTTTCTGGGGTGTTCCACGGATCGGGAATTCGATGATCTCATAGTCTGGGTCACCACAGTCTCCGGAGAGCGATGGTGGTGGTACCTTCGGTGGCGTTGGTATTCGTTCCTTCCGCTCCTCTGCATCCTTCTGTTGTTGTGCCTTTTATACAACATTGTTTTTTTTTTTTTTTTCTTTTTCTATTTCTAATTCGAAATATTTTCTTTCAAAGCTATTGTCAAATGTTACTTGTCAATGTCAAATCGCTGTCAGTTCGTAGACTTATTTATTTTGATATTAATATATCGATTATGTAAAAGTACATTAGAACGTACCAATACCCAATGAGGCATGGTCCGTGCCATACGCAATCGAGTAGATGGATTCGAAATGGCCATGGGCCGCCATTTTTCAGCTCCCGGATTCTGCAAAGTCGTTAGAGGAAGAATATTTATAATGAATGAAATCTTTTAAAGAAAATTTTTATTACTCTTCGGAAATGGAGTAAATTTTAAATATCCTTCGATCGTTTTTATTTACGGGGGCAACGATAAAAAATCTCTGTTCCGCGTCCAAAAATAAAGCGAAATGTCGTCATCTCGCGACTCAACATTCCTCGACATATTCTGGGACACGTGTTATATGAATGGGCGTCGATAATTCCAATAAAACTCGTTGAAATATTTCAAGTAAATAAATAACTACGATATTCCGACATTTTCGTTCGCGATCACGTTAGCCTTAAAGCCTGTGAGATAAATGTGAATTAGATTCTCGAATTAGATGGTATCTTTAGAACGCGTTTACTCCTTCTCTTCCCTTTCTACGTGGCTATCTCTTTTGTTCCCCGCGATACTGTTTTGGACGGCCAAACAAATTTTCCCGGGCCAAACGGCATAGATACAATGTTCTAGAAAATCTTAGCTTTTTATTGCTCTTTTATAATATCGTTACTTGTTTAATCGTTCGACATAACTCGAACGTCATTCTCTTGTCTAATACTTGTAAAATTATGCGGCATGGAACATATCGTCGTGTTCTGACTCATCGTACCGATTAGCAACGAAAGGAAGGAAGAAGAAGAAGAAGAAATCGTTGACGAGAATTATTCCTCGATGAAATCGCTAAAGCCCGAGCAAGTTGGAGTTATTCCAAATTCTAGATAGACATACGAATTCCGTCAATTTCGAGTAATACCCAATGAAAATGAAATTTTCAACGTTAAAAACACGCACGGATGGATCTATCAACAGCTAGTCAATTTTTTCATTCTTTTTTCTTTCCCCTCATGTATCTCATCATGAAAAATACGAGCGGAGGCCAGGCAGCTTGGCGTTGAATCTCTCTCTCTCTCTCTCTCTCTCTCTCTTTCTCTTTCCTTCGGCGCGATGCACTGTACGAAAATAGAGCAGAGTCGCTCTATTCTCGCGGATATTTACATGAACTTTCGTGGAAATACGACGCGTAGATTTTTCTTACGTGATAATCACATTAAAAGTAAACACAATTAATAATCAACGATGCAGATGATCGATCCATCCATCGATCGATCAATCAATCGATCGATCGATCGATCGAGAGAACTCACAAACTGAGGGATCAAAGGGTTACACACTCACGTTCATGTGTAGCTCGCGGAGTCGGGTACCTCCGGTTTTTCCTCGGGAACTGGCCGACGCGCTACTGATCTTCTTGCCGCTATTCATTGCCTACGAGGAGGACCCGTTGCATTACCAGCGCCGAAATCTATTTCAGTAACGTGGTTGCTGGACCGATGCCATCCTTTCTACCGGAGTCTCCCCGTTCGCGTAAATATATCACGATGCCTCGCACTCGAACAAGACGTTTCGGAGTCTCTCTATCTTTTTTTTCCTTTTTCTCCTTCTCCTTCTTCTTCTTCTTCTGCTCCTCCTCCTCCTCCTCCTCCTCCTCCTCCTTCTTCAAAATTGGAGACACGTCTCTCCCTGAAAATCGAGGGTGAACGATCGGCTTCTCGTCGAACTCGGTTCAAATTTCTCGGCAATAGTACTCGGAGCGAAAGACTTTCTCTTGTCGTGATTAATTCTAATTGCATAATTAAGATATTATAAACATGTGTATGTATAATAGGGAATATTTTATATGTTTATTTTGATCGACATTATGCGAAGTCTCCCGTATGTATAAGATCGATTTCGTTATAATGATTTCTATTTAGTTAAAAAAAACAACAAACTCGTTATTATCTACTTCTACTTAGATTTCACTTGAGTAATATCTCGCAAAGCTTATGTCTTTTGGTTTAGAATCGCTGATCATTCTTGTTAATTGCGCATTGTGGCTCGGTCTACCGCAAGATCGAGCGTACAACGTTCGTGAGAAAGATCGCATCGTAAACGTCATGATCGCGCCGGTGTGTTTGCTCTGCGGAAATGTCATGAGAAAGATTATGGTAGTGGGTAGGATTTTTTATGTTTTTTTTTCTTCTTTTTTTTCTCTCTTTTTCTTTCTTTTTTTCTTTTTTCTCCCATTTCTACGCTCATTTTCACTTGCGTCATCGATATTTTAACAGGACAAGTTTCTTATAATGGAGTTCAATGGTAGAAATATATATCACACATTAGCATGAAACTTATTACGACTTTACATATTTAACGAGTACAATAATTTGCATTCTTTAGATCGGTACGCTATATATGTAATCTAGTTTTCACGTAGGAAGACTCTTTATGTAGGTGTCTAGCGTTCCAACGCGTTCGAATATCGCTTTCTTTGTTAACGAAGAATCGGCTTGGCTGAAACAGAAAGAAATAGGTCTATTAGAGTTGGCCTATCGAAGAAATCGAATCGGATCGTTCCGTTGTGTAGCGGAATTTCCAGGGTACTTCCACTTTTTCTCGACTTTCATCGTCGAGGGAAGTAGGAATAAGCGAAAGAAGATCACCGAGAAAGAAAAGTAGATGCTCACGAGACGAGGGCCTCTCCGAGAGTGATCGAACATACATATCATTCCGGAGGACGAGATCTTGAACACGTAGCGCCACCTGCGTTCACCGTGGTACCTCAAAATGGCCGTCCCTCTCACCTCAGACCTTCTCGGAACGTCGACGAAGGCAGGTGGACGATTTGAAGTCGTATCGTCTCGCGTACACGTCGTGCTCGTTGGCAAGAATATTTTTCTAGCCGGTCTTTAATAGATTCAAAATTTTTATTGAAAAGTTTATCGAATGGCAAGTTACGCAAGGGCCCCATTAAGAAAGAAAATACATTGGACCTCATCGAACGCATCGTTGTCCTAGATAGATCGAAGACATCGACTCCGTGGACAGGTGCCTGGCCGGTGTTGGCCACGCTCTCATTTATCTCGACCTTCCGTATTTTCTCCTTCCTGCTTTCATTTAATCTCAGCGTTAATGTACGGCTGGTATGCGCGAAGAAAGTGGTGCGAGCTAAGGAGAAAAATTTCGGTGCCGTACATGAGGTACATACTACTCGGTACGTTCGGTGATTTCAATGCACGGTCGTAACCATCGCGGCCGTGTAACCGGAAGAAAGAAGCAAACCAGAAGGATCCCTCCTCGAACTTGGGAAAAGCTGTTTTCCATTTCGATGCTGTCGTCTCGGCATCATTACTTTTCTTGTCGTCGATGATTACTCGAGGATAAACGAGAAAGAGAGAGAGAAAAACAGAAACAGAGAGAGAGACAGACAGAGAGAGAGAGAGAGAGAAAGAGAAGGAAAGAGAGAGAAAGAAAGAGAGAGAGAGAGAGAGAGAGAAAGAAAAGAGAGAGACAGAGAGAGAGAGAGAGAATAGAAAATCTTCCTTGGATATTAATTTTCGTCGAGTATGCTCCGAACCGAAGAGGAAACTCGTCGGTCAAAGGAGCAAGGATTATGAGGACGCGTAGGTATTTTGAAGGAACGTGTTGTAGCGGTGCCGTTGTCGCCTTCTTCAAGAGTACCAAGCGGAGGGTGGGAAGAAGAATCTGACCTTGCGTCGATGTAGCCTCCTTCTTTTTTCCTTCATCGTGCTCCAATTGCTTCGCGTTCGCGCGCACGCGCATATCTACACTCGTCAGTAAGTAAGTAAGTAAGAAAAAGAATGAACGAGCGAGCGAACGAGCGTGCGAGAGAGATAGATAAAGAGAGAGAGAGAGAGAGAGAGAGAGAGAGACAGAGAGAGAGAGAGAGAGAGAGAGAGAGAGAAAACTTACGTAGCAAGATTGTACTTTAACGATCCCGAAGACGCAAGAGAGAGGAATCTCGGTGAGATTCCTCGAAAGAGTTTCTCCTCTTGATCGAGCCTCTCCTCGAGCATGTCTTTTAAGGTCGAGACTATCCCGACAAACGGGAATTTTAACCGATCGTCGCGATTCGACGAAAATCTTGCACTTTTGTAACCGGGTTAAGATCCGCGCGCGAGCGCGTGCGTGCGCGCGCGCGGGCGCAAGTCTTGGGGGAACCCCCTACTCCTTTACGTTTCTCTCCTTATCTTTCCATTCCTTTTGGAATTCCTTCCTTACTTCCAACGAGAGGAAGGAATTCCATTGAGGAGAAACTTACGAAGGGACGAGTATGTTAACGGTGATCATTTTAGTGAACGTTAAATAACAGGGCAAAATAACTCTAATCTTATTTTTCATTTATTCCTTCTCAATGCCTACCATTAATTCGTCATTTTTGATGATCCACGAGGAATATCTATATCCCTTTCTTTTCTTCTATCCATTCATTCGGTTCAATCATCCGAAGCACCTACCTATCCTTTCCTCGTTTACCACGCAACATCATTTTTGAAAGAAACTTTTCTCTTTCATCTTTGAGACTCTTTAGTCGATGGCACGTGCGTTCCCGTTCGTGCGCCTGCATCGACTATATATTGTAGTAATTGGTAAATACTTTAGCCATCTAGTTATAGGTTAAAGATGACCTCGAATCAGGAATGTTTGTTCGTACGTTATCGGAATGCGATGAATAATTATCAGGCGTGAAAGCACGTAAACGTCGAATACAGTAGTAGATATATTATGTCTGGTATAAATAATACCGGATCTTCTTTCGAATCTCTTTACGATCGATACGACTTTCTTTGCGAAAGTCATCATGAGAAAATAGACTCAAAGAGATTCGTAATGATCGATCGACACATAAGATTTGAAAAATCCTTCCTTTCGTTCAACAAATATATTTAACTACGTTCGAAGGAGGAAGTCTGCCTCGACGATTTCGATCGTACCGATTTGCGTCAGCACGCTGTATTGTGTTCTCTTCCTTTTCTTCCTATTTCTCTCTCTCTCTCTCTCTCTCTCTCTCTCTTGTTTATCCCTCCCTTCCATAAAACATTGTAGAAAGCGGGCATTCTATCGGAAAGGATTTCTCCTAAAATCGTTGAGTTTAATTACGCGCGACGATGCACCGATTCTTTATGAAAGAAAGTTATTTCTTCTTTCCTTTTTTTTTTTTTTTTCAAACGCAAACAACGACGAAATTTCTTGCTTATAACAGACCGATTAAAGAGTCCAATGGTGTATCTCTTTTGCTTTTTCTTTTTCTTTTTCTTCGAATTCTTAGCTCTAGTCGAGATAGAGTCAAAAAAAATGTTAGTAAAAATGGAAGGATATAAACAAATTCAATTGACTTTTCTTCTCATACTTCGAGAATTTCTACGGGATAAATCGAGAAATACCGAACATTCCGGAAGTAATGTATATATATCTTTTTTTCTTTTTTTTTTTATTTCCATGAACGACCGTTCCTGTTTTACCTCGCCCCTTCAATTATATATGCGAGATAAGCAATATTTCTACGAGTGGCAATGCGCTCAAAGGCATTCCGCGTTCCTACGAGTGAGAATCCGTGCCACGCATAGATATATCTATACACACGTACACACACACACACACACACATACACTATATATATATTTTATTACATTCGTATCGATAAAAAAAAATTAAAAAGATAACGAAGAAAATAATAGAGCCAAGTTATGTAGATAATTACCAATTCTTCTCGATAATCTGAAATTGAATGAATTTCGACCGAAGATTTTTTTATCTTTTTGGTCAATTAATTTCGTCGCCATTAATCGATATCTTTTTTTATTAACGATTGTCTTTCTTCTTCTTTCAACATCTATTGGCTGTATCAAAAAAAAAAAAAAAAAAAAAAAAACCAAAAAAAAAAGAGAAAAAAAAGAAGATTAATCGAAAGGAACAAGTTCGGTCGGAATAAGTGATATTGAAAATTTACTGGAAAATAATTATAAATTTCGCAAGATGGAATTACACCTTGGTAGTTTTAATAATTGTATAATGTAAAAGTTCTCTTATGGTTTGGTAATGTTTATATAAAAAAAAATAACACAATATTTATGTTATCTTTAATTAAGTTCAACGAATTTTTTGTCATTTCGAAGGGTTTTGATAGGCGGCCATTACGTATCTTGGATCAGTTGATTGAAAGTCGACGTAGAAAGAAAAAAAAAATTGCATTAACGTTCAAAGCACATAAATAGATTGCATTAATGACAACAACTAACAGTAACAACAACAATAACAAACAATAACAAAAAAGAGCAAGGACAGAGAGAAGAAAGCGCGAGGAATAAAAGTCGCGTGGCGAAGTAGATTAACGAGAAGAAAGGAGGATGATCATTATCGGGGCAGACGCGACACGCATACGTCGACGTTTTACTCACGAAAATAACGAACGAAATGCTTTCTCTCGATGCGCTTCGGTATGCAAGCGATTCGCGTGTTCTTTCTTCGGAAGAGGAACTTTCTGAAACGTCTTTCTCCCTTTTTTTCTTTTTTTTTCCTTCATTCATTCTTTCTTTCTTTCTTTCTTTCTTCTTCTTTTTGTTTGTCTTTCATAGCACGT